CGTGTCGTGTAAGTGTGTGTCGTGTCGTGTCATGCGTGCGATCTTGAAATTCCGGCCGTGTGCGAACCTGAACGATAGCCCAGTTGCCCCGGGAGCAGGTGAGCGGGAACGAGTAGATGACGCCGGGCGGAATGCCGTAGGAGCCATCCGAGTACACACCCATCGACACCCACTCGCCCTGTGAAAGAGAAAGACACCGTCAGTACCGCACCGTCAGTACGGTGCGTGTCGTGTGTGCGTGTATGACGGTGTGCGGGTAGTGGCACTACAGACCTGGGGAGTGCCGACGAGCCAGTCGTGGACGTGGCCGACGACGGCGTTGGCCGCCGAGGCAGCCGAGCTCTTTTGCCTGGCCTTGATGACCGCGGCGCCGCGCTGCTGCACGCCCGGGATGAACTCCTTCTCCACCCACTCGGTGCCGCCCACGGCCTCCTTGAGCGAGACCGTCCGTCCGTCAATGCTCACCTGGCCGTGGCTCACATCGGGGAACTGCGTCGACGAGTGGTTGCCTGCGTGTGCGACGTGTGCGTGTGCGGTCGTGCCATTTTTCAGCACTTGGCAAGGTCGTAGAAGAAGATGACGAAGAAAGAGCTGTTTACCCCAGATGATGGCGTTGTGAATCTGGCCGGGCGAGACATGGAGCTTCTTGGCGAGGAAGCCCTTGGCGCGGTTCTGGTCGAGGCGGGTGAGCGCGGTGAAGTTCTCCTTGGGGATCGACGGCGCGCACGCCTGCGCGATGAGCGCGTTGGTGTTGGCCGGGTTGCCCACCACGCACACCTGTGTCGTTGGTCGTGTTATGTCGTGTCGTGCGAGTGTGCGTGTCACGCAACATACAATCGACAACGAGGAGGTGGAGGATCAATGAGCACCTTGACGTTCTTGGAGGCGTACTGGTCGAGCGCCCTGCCCTGCTCCTTGAAGATGGCGGCGTTCTTGGCCAGGAGGTCGTTCCTCTCCATGCCGGCCTGGCGAGGGAACGAGCCCACGAGCAGCGCCACGTCCACGCCCTTGAAGGCTTCCTTCAGGTCGCCGGTGCACACCACTCCTGCTCAACCACGATCAGCGCACGACACGACACGCACCACCGCACACACACGTTTTATGTAGAGAGATGTATGTACCGCGGAGGAGGGGGAAGGCGCAGTCCTCAAGCTCCATGGCGAGGCCCTGGAGGGCACCCACGAACTGGGGCAGGTCCAGCAGATGGAGCTTGATCGGCGTCTCCTCGCCCAGCAGTCGGCCCTGCGTGTGCATAGCCACATGTGGGATAAGCGAGGTTACCGCGAGGTGTTGTCGCGTAGAGAGAAGAATTTGTTTTTTGTAGCGAAAGATGAAGGGCGCGAGTAGAACTACGACTAACCTGAGCGACGAGGAAAACGAGCGAGTAGGCGATCTGCCCAGCGGCGCCGGTGACGAGGACGGTCACGGGGGGCTGCTGGCTCACGACCCGCGAAGCGCTGGTTGCCGCGGCCTCGAATCCAGTCTGCGAGCCTACGCCCATGTGCGCTGCGATGCGGCTCATTCGGCTCACCGCACGCCTCGTCGTAGCATTCGAATCAGCGCTCATTCTCGTGTTGATCTTTTCTTTATAAAGAATAGTGCTGCTTTCAAATCCTAGTTTGTTTTTTTGTTTTGTTGTTTTCTTTGTTAATTTTGCTTTGCTGGACAGCCACGTTAAAAAATTGCCACCTTAAACACTTCACAGCGTGCGACGAACAAGGAGACAAAGAACGAAGGCGGAGAGGTTGCATTACACCAGGCCGTGAACATCAGGGTGAAAGAAAGGTTATCACAACGAAGGATTAGTCGACCATCGCTACTAATCTCTTTCGGGCACGAAGCTAGAACATTTTTCCATTCGGATAAAAGATGATGGAGACCGCAAGTGCGTTGGCGCCACCTTCGGGCGGGTCGTTGAGTTCCGTGACGTCGGGCATCTTGGCGGCGGGACAGCAGCTTTGCCACAATCTCTACCTCCAGTCCAAGCAGCCAATGGCCTATCACCAAATCGAAGTACGTACTCCCTCTTCTTTCTTTCTTTCATCAATCAAAACGTTCGGCATCTATGTTACAAATAATATTAATAATACATCTATGTTACAAATAATAATATATTTACTTGTTTATTCAATCATTTATTTATTGATTTATTGCTGTACGCCAGGCTGCGTTGATCGAGCAGACGTCGAAGGGCAAGAAGGCATCGACGGCCAAGGTGGTCGAGGCCCTGCGTGGACTCAGCTTCTACACGCCCGACGAGCAGCTCATCGACGTTCTCCTCAACGGTACGCCACCGTGTTTCCTTTCCTCTCCTCCCACATGTCCGGCCGGCCCTCCGTGGATGCATGTAACACGTGTTGCGTGCGCGTTGCGTGTTGCGTGTGTGTGTTGTGTGTGTTGCGTGTGTGTGTTGCGTGCAGTGCTGGCGCAGCACGAGGACCGCAAGATCGCGGGCGCGGTCTACCATTTCCTGTCGTCGGCGCCCCAGCAGCTTCGCTCCGACGGACTTACCAACGTACTCATCCCCCCCCCCATTGGCACGTGTGCGTGTGCGTGTGCGTGTGCGTGTGCGTGTGCGTGTGCGTCGGTGTTGATGAGGGTCGGGTGATTGAATTGACGGCCGGCTGTCTCTACAGCAATTGAAGGACGTGTTGGCGAAGGAGGCCAAACACACGTCGGTCGGCCGTCGCGCGCTCGCGCTCCGCACCCTGGCCACCTTGGCTCCCTCCGACAACAAGACCATCGATGGTCCGCCACCACCCCCTCCCCCAAGCGTCTCTCTTTTGTCCCCAGAACTTATGTGCACACATGTTTGCTCTCTCTCCTCTCTCTCTCTCTCGTGCGTGTGCGTGTGCGTGTGCGTGTGCGTGTGCGTGTGCGTGTGCGTGTGCGTGTGCGTGTGCGTGTGTTGAGACAGACTTCTTGGTCGACGCCATCAGCAACGTCGTGCTCAAGGAGGAGGAAGTTGACCCGCAAAAGGTTCGCTGTCGCCCCTCCATTCGTATTTATGGTTAATTAAGAAATTAATGCGATTTATTATGACGGTCAGACATCGAGGCGCACGTTCAGGAGGCATAAAACGGAGACGAGCGAGACGGAGAGGCCGCTCGACCAGGCCGGCGCTCTGCTCGCCGCCCGCTACCGCTTCGGCAACACTCGGCCGCTCATTCCAGTCGCAATTCGAGGAATGTTCTGCGATGACCCTGTCGGCGCGCGGCACGCCATCGCCTTGTGCCTTCAGCTCGCCGCCCTCGTGCGTCTCACCTATGCCTTCGTGTGTGTCGTGTGTGTCGTGTGTGTGTGTCGTGTGTGCGCGCGCGGTTGTGTGCTAATGGCGGGTGATGGCTTGTGCAGTACCCGGTGGAAGTGGCCGAGGGCGTCAAGGACTTTTTGCCGCAGAACGTGATGCGAACCCCGAGACCGGCCGTCATCACGGCCACTTCCTTCCCTGGCGACCGCCCCAACCTCTCCGGTAACGCCGCATTCCACATTATACACAACACACGCCAACACGACACACACGACACAACACGCGCCTGATGAGCGATGGTTGCCTGCAGACACATTCGCGCGTGCGCTGTTCGTGCGCGTGTGCGGCCGGCTGGCCCAGTCGACCGAGGTGAGCAAGGACGTGGGCGAGGCCTTCTTCCAGGCGCTCTGCCAGTCAGTCGCCGATCTCAACGAGCGCGTGGCGTTCGAGGCCGTGGCTGCCCTGTGCGCCTTCCCTTGGTCTCGCATCTCCGCCGCCTGCGTCCTCCCCATCGCCGACGAGGTGCGCCCCGCACCACTTCGCCGACATGAATGACGTGTCAACTTACCATTGGTTGGGCTGCCTACACACGCGCGCGCAGTATGGCTACAAGCCGAGCGGCAAGCTGCCCCTGGCCCAGGCGGTGGTGACCCGCATCGTCCAGGCGCTGAGCGACCCCACGCGCTCGGCCGTGGCGCTCCACGCCGCGTGCAGGACCGCGCGTCTCTTCGCCCGCGCTCGCATCATTAACTCGAGCTCCCACGTGCGAGGTTCGGGGCATTCCCTCTGTTGCTTAATAGGAGTTAAAAAGACTGATCGGAGTTCATTGTGCGTGCAGACGCGGACGGCACGCTGGACGTCATGTGCCGCTCTCTGCTGGCGCTGCTGCCGCAGGCCAATAACAACAGCGCCTCGTCGTCGACTTCGAGCGTCGAGACCGGCCGCATGTACCACGCACCCCGCTAACCCGCACATTCCATAACATTCTAGTGGTGTTGACCGCAGTGCCACTGTTTCGGCGTGCATACAGTTACATCGAGATGGAGGTGATGCGGGCGCTGGTGTGGCTCACGTTCCCGCACCACAACACCCACACCTACGCCAACGCCTTTGGCCATCACATCCGCGCCAACATCTTCTCGTCGGCTCAGCTCGCCGGTACTCTCTTTTTCTCGTCGACGCACATTCCTGGCACGAAGGATTGCACATTCCTCACACATGCGCGATCGCTCCAGATCTGTTCAAGGAGCTGCACGAGCGTGTCGAGGCCAGCCCCGACATGATCAAGTTCGCCACAAAACTGGCCTACGTGTGGTACTCGAACGTGCCCGAGAAGGTACTCCTCACATTCCTCACACAAAACACGTGGCATCAATTTTAATGTGACATTCTTGGCATTCCAGACAAACGCCGACTCTATCACGGCGTTGTGGGCCACCATTCTGAAGCTGGATGAGGAATTCGACGCGCGCGGCCGCCGGCAGGGCGAAGAAGAGGAGGAGAGCCGCGAGAACGGCGATGGCGGTGAAGACGAGTTCGAAGATTACCGCTATTCCGAGGGTGACCAACCCACCAAGGCCAAGGCACTGCGCGAGGTTCTCCTCAAGGTGCGCTTGCGTGTCGCGTCATCGATCGTGTTGTGTGTGTGTGAGTGAGTGTGCGGTGTGTGTGTGAGTGTGCGGTGTGTGCGGTGTGTGCGTTTTGCTAAGTACCAGGAAACGAACAGCATGTGTTCAAGATGCTCGACTGCCAGCACAAGGCCTCGCAGTCCACGCCCGACACGAAGAGGATCCGGGATGTCGTGTGGCGGCTGCGCACGCGCTTCTACCACTTCCTCGCCGAGAACGCTCAGTTCCTCTCCGCCTGGGATTCCGAGAGCGACGTACGCCAACAAGCGCACACCGCACGACACACGCACACCGCACACGCGTGTATCTGATCGGATTGGATGGCTGCGCACAGGTTGAGGAATCAGCGGCGCTGAAGGCCATCCTGCTCCGGCTTGAGGCCGCGGCGGTGAGCGGCTCGTGGGAGGTACGTACACCGATCGGTGTCTATCCGCTCTAGTTGCCCCGTCTAAGGGCGACACACACAACACGACACACAGACGAGGATTGTGGCGGCCGAGGGCGTGGCCAAGCTGGCTTTCCGTCTTCCCGCCCTGCGCTCGCAGGTGGGCCACCTCTTCACCAGCGCCGAATCTACATCGTCTTCGTCGTCGTCAGCCAAGACCGCCACGTCATCGTCTTCATCGTCGGTGCCGGGCGCGTTGTTGTTGCGATCGCCGCCGGTGGTGCCGTGGGTGGCGTCGCCGGCAGTGCACCTGATGGAGCTCTCTGCCGGGCTGCAGGACCGGGGCGTGAGCTTCCTGTCGCTCCCGCTCGAGGAGCGCCGCTCGGCCGCCGAGATCAGCGCCAAGGTCAAGAGCCAGATGAACCTCTTCGGGCAGCTCCTTGCCGACTGATTGACGCCTTCCTGCTCACCTGACCAGCGGAATTCAAAGCATTTTTTGTCAATTTGTTGTTTTGTTAAACAAAAGATGGAGGGGGGCATGGGGCTGGAGTGGGCGCTGGTGGGGCTCGTGGGCTGGGCCGTGGCTACCATTACCTACGCTTCACGGCGTGCCTTGGCCCATCACAACGACCCCAATCGACGGCTCGACGGTACCGCCACGTCAATCTCGCTAGATGTGTGATTTTTTTCTATTCCTCTTCCATCTCTGCCGCATCTCCATCTTCGTCCTTCAACTTCTTCATCCTCTACTCCATTCTTTTCATCCATTTAATTTACCCAATTCAATTGGAAAGAGTAGTGGCTCACTCTCACGGCTGGCCATGGCAGGGAGTGAGGTGGTTCAGCTGTCGGGCCACAGCGGCGTGTGGCTGGCGGTGGGCGCGTCGGTGTCGCTGGTGGTCTTCTTCTACGGCTCGGCGGCACTCGCGCTCGTGGGCGCCCTGTCCGTGTGCATCACGGGCTTCTTCGCGCTCGCGTGGGCGCTCGACCCACTCCTCTCCCTCGCCACCGCCTCTTCATCTTCCTCTTCTTCTGCCTTCTCTTCCTCCTCCTCGGCTTCGATGTCATCGCCCTTTGTCATGCGCTCGTACGAGCTCCTCCCAACCCTACCGCACACCGCACACAACACACGCGGCGCAGCGCACACACGACACACGCACACAGCTGATACGAGTGTTGCGAAATTGTGGTGGTGCAGGGTGGCGAATGGCGGGCTGGTGACCGGCGGGGCGAGCGTGCTGGTGATCTTCGCCTGGTTCGTGTGTCAGCATTGGATCCTCAACAATGGTGCGTTCACACCGGTTCATCAATTCAGTGATTGGCACATTCATGCTTACGCCGCACACGCACACGCAACCGCCGCACACGCACTACCGCACACGCGCACGCGCACACGCGCACGCGCACACGCACAGCGTTGGGAGTGGCGATGTGCGTGCTGTTCGTGAGCCTGGTGCGGGTGCCCAGCATGAAGGTCTCCGCGGCCGTGCTCGGCTCCCTCTTCCTCTACGACATCTTCTGGGTCTTCCTCTCGCACCACTTCTTTGGCGAAAACGTCATGTACCGCCACCTTAACTTCCCCTCCTGTCCTGGTCGCTGTCGCCTGAGCTGACTGGCTCCGGCTTAGGTTGGCGGTAGCGACGCGCGAGGCGCAGAACCCGGCGGCGGTGCTGGCGCAGCACCTTCACCTGGAGGCCCACGTGAGTCCGTCGCTGCAGCTGCCGGCCAAGATCATCTTCGGGCCGCTCATGCTCGGGCTGGGCGACATCGTGCTGCCGGGCCTGCTCGCCGCCTTCGCCATGCGGTTCGGCCACCGCAAGACCGGACGCACCTTCATCAACCCGCACTACCTCTGCTTTCTATGCGGGTACGCAATTGCGCGCGTTTGATCGTGTACCACGGCACTCACCACCGCACACGCCGCACACGCACACGGCAAACAGATATGGAGTGGGACTGTTGGCGTCGTTTGCGGCGGTGATGACATATCGGATGGCGCAGCCGGCGCTGCTCTACATCGTGCCGTCGACGCTCGGCGCGCTGGCGCTGCTGGGCCTGTGGCGCGGCGAGCTCGTCGAGCTGTGGCACGGCTTTCCCGAGGACTTCCTCCTGCTCGCCGGCAACAATGACGGCGACACGCGCCGACCAGACGAGCCTGATCGCTATGATGTCTGATGGACCTCCTGGCCTCCCTTTCCCACCCACACTGAACATATTGCCACATATTGCCACCTCTCCACCACGACTGCTTTGCTGAGTCTTCACAGGAAGCGAGATCGCTGCCCTGCACGTGACGTCCAAACCGAGCTCGCGCTCCTCCCGCTTCTCCTCCTTCGTCATCTTCTTGTTCTTCTCCTTCTTCTTCTTCTTGGCCCCGTCGTTGGGCGACTGGCCCTGCTGCTTTGCTTCATCGCGTCCGCCACCACCGCTGCCGCCGATTTCTGCATTCGTCAAAACAGAGAGTTCCGTGTGTCTTGTGCGTGTGTCGTGTGCGGCGGTATGTGTGTGCGGTGGTGCGTTACGTTAAGTCTTATGTACGAAGTCCTCGCCTGCCTTCTTCCTCTGCTTTCGCATCTCCTTCCACTTCCTGAATACCGTTAAGACACGAGCTTAGTGACCATATCCCCGTGTGCGTGTGCGGTGGTGCGTGCGTGTGCGTGAGTGTGCGTGCGTGTGCGGAAGGGTCGGTACTGCTTTCGGGCGCGATAGAGGCTCTTCTTCTCCTCCATGGCCTTTTCGTGGAGGGCCGCCTCGTCTCCTGTCGCAAGCGTCGCGTGAAGCGTTGCTTGTAGCTCTCATTCGGCCGCATACTCTCGAACTGTAACGACAGTTAAGTGCTTCCGTGGTGAGCAACGCGTCGCACACGCACGCACCACCGCACACGCACACGCACCACCGTGCACGCACACGCACCACCGCACAAAGAGAACACACGCGCGCGCCGTACATGTAGTTGTTGCCCTTGATGACGTCCTGGAGTGTGCGATGACGAGTACACGGTACCCTAACCTCGACCCCGACCTCGTACTTACGGTTTGTCCATGCATGCACAGGTGTGGTTGTGGATGGCCGAGATTGGGAAAGGAAAGCGTTGGCCCGCCGATTACAGACCAGGCTCGAGATCTTGGCTCTCTTCTCCCCTGACATCCTTCATCTGTCGTGTGTGGTGTGTTGTGTGAGTGTGTTATGTGTGTGTTATGTATGTGTGTGTGTGTGTTTTGTGTGTGTGTTGGTGGTGATTTGCAAATCATCTCGGCTGCACCTCATGACTGAACTTTGCCTTCGGGGAATGAGCAGGAGCCCAACATCTTCTTCAACACGACGGCTGATTGCTACATCCGGTCGATCATGTGTATCGCCACCCGGCACATCACCGATGAGGAGTTGTTCCTCAACTACCGGTACGCACACACACACCAACCCCACGACAGACACACGCACACACACACACACCGCACGACACGTACGACACCACACATGACGCATTTCATCCCAGCGCCCGTGCCACTTCACAATTCACCCACATCCCACATCCAACCCGCCACAGGTACAACCGGATCAACCTATCCGGACTGGTATGTGCAACCCGGCGTGGCGGAGGCCGAGCGGCGATGGAAGAAGCCCAACCAAGGCCCCCAACCCTTCTGGTAGCCACACTTTTGGTGGTCGATACCTCGTTTCTTCTCTGAGAGCGTTGCTGACGTGGCTTGTGGCTGGTTCGAATCCCACCTTGTTCTATTCCACCAATATGCGGCCGCTGGTTGCACTGTGAACTTGCAAGCCGTTGGTTGTTGGCGTTCGCCAAAGAGTTCTGCCACGACGAGTGCTCAGGCGGTTTCTTCTACACTGAGCAGCTTGGCTTCTGGGTCAATTGCAATCCGGCGGCCAGTCAGGCGGTCGTCTCGCCCGAGGGCGTGTGCCCTCCCATCCAACTTCCCAACGGGCGTCAGTGAGCCTCTACCTTGGTCGTGATTCTATACTCGCCCTACGTCGCTTCCCCTGGCTTGACCCATTTCGCGAGCCACCGCCGCCTCCACCTCCACTCCCTCCAGCTCCTGTTTGCACCATCATCACATAAAAAAAAAGAAGATGTAATAGATGATTATCTACAAAGACGAGGAGGATGATGATGATGAATGATGGCGAAGGAGGTGGACGGTGCAATCGGAGGAGCAGGTGGCGAGAAGATCGCTGGTGGGGCTCCACGCCAGACCCTCGACCGACCCCGTGTGAAGCTTGCCCACCCACCGTCGCTGCCTTGGCGCTCCGTCGCCCACACCCCACACCGCCACTACACGACACACACGAATCGCGACACGACACACACGACACGATGTCAGAGCTGTGCGAAATTGAAGCGAACAGCGGGGGAGGGCGGAGAAGAGTACCGGCGCCGTTCTGGGTGACGCAGCACAGCTTGTCGCCGCGCGGCTGGAGCGCGCAGTAGGTGAGCGTGTGCCAGTCGTGGATGTCTTCGCTCGTGTCGAACACGTGCATGAGCGCCCACGTCCGCGCGTTCCACACCATCACCTTCCGATCATCGGCGCACGTGGCCAGCACCTCGTGCCACTCACTCTCCTCCTCCTCTGTCGTCGCCGTCGCCGCAGCTGATGACGACGACGACGCGGCGGGCAGGCGCCGCATGAGCTGCCAGTCGACGCCGGTGACGGCCGTGGTGTGTCCGGTGAGCGTGCGTCGCTTCTCGCCGCCGGGAAGAGCCCACACGCAGGTGGTCTGGTCCTCGGAGCAGGTCGCGATCGCGCCATTGTCGGGCGACCACGCGAGCGACCAGATCTCGGCGAACAGGCCGATCGAGCCGAACTGCAGGTTCTGTGGGCCGGCCACAGGCCGATGGGCCTCGATCACCAGCACGTCCTCCAAGCGCAGTTGTTGTTGTTGGGCTAACCGGTCGTGGTCGCCGGCCGGCACCACCACGAGCCGCATGACATGCAGCGTGCCGTTGGTCGTTCCCGCGGCGAGAAGGCGCGGCGCGTCGCCGTGCTCCCACCGCATGCAGGTCACGGTGTCTCCGAGCGCTGCCACCAGCAGAGGAGCAACATCTGCGTGTGTGCGGTCGTGCGTGTGCGGTGTGTGCGGTTAGCTGGAAGGCAACACATGCACGCGCGCTAGAGCGAGAAAGGCAAAGACGAACCAGGCTGGAGCGGGTTCCACGAGTAGATGTCGCCGCTCACGCAGCCGATCAGGACGTGTGGCGCCGGACCGTCCGGGCGGTGGGACGGCCTTCGCCAGCAGATCGAGCGGACCGGCAGGAGGGAGGGCACGCGGGTCGACGCCAGCGGGAGGTGCGAGCCGACGTCCCACACGATCACGTTGCCCGCGAAGTCGCCCACGGCCACCTGCGTCCCCTCCCAGTTGAAGTCCAGCCCTGCAGTACGGTCGGCTTAGTTTTGTAATTTGAAAAAATGAACAAAAACTGATAGTCAGTACCACAGCAGGTCATGGCGTGGAAGGCCATGTGGCGCGCTTGAGGCTCGAACGCAGCTTCGACGTCGTCACGCAGGACCGGAAGCGGCGTGACGACGCTGCTCACGGTGGACGACAGAGGGCGGCGGAGCGGACACGAGTGGATGCCGGCCTCGTTGACGACCCAGGCCTCCTCCGCGGCGTCGTCGCAGTCGACGTAGTAGATAGAGCCGCTGGACAGACCTACAGCGATCATCACATGTGAGCAGCTTGTGTCGTGTCGTGTCGTGTCGTGTCGTGTCGTGTCGTGTCGTGTCGTGTCGTTGGTCGTGTCGTTGGTCGTGTCGTGTCGTTGGTCGTGTCTATCTCGTGGCACGTACCGTCGAGAACGAATTCGCCAGCCAGCCGGTCGCGCTGCCACACGGTGAGCCGGGCGTTGTCCCCGGGACACAGGAGCCGATCGCCGGCGGACTTGAACGCGAGGCACTTGATGAGGCCCGACCCGCCGGAGGCATCGACCGTCCACAGGGTCGCTAGCGTGCGCATGTCCACAACCTCGACCCGGCGGCCGCTGAGCGCGATCGCCATCCGTACCGGCCCACCATCGGTCGACGGGCGGTCCTCCTTGGCCATGGCGCTTACCGAGACCGCCGACGACCGCGTGGCGCTGGGCAGCTCCAGCGCGCGCTCCTTGATCACGCGCCACTCGCCGCTGCGCTCGTCGACCCGGATCAGATGCAGCGCTGTCTCTGAGTGCTGCGTTGTTGCTGGGGAGGGACCCTCGACAGAGCGCCGCGAGGCGCGCGGTGGCTGGCGCACGGCGACCAACAGCAGCGAGTCGGGCTCCCCGCCGCCGCTGTCGGCCCACTCGACAAAGGTGTAGCCTGCGCCAGCTCCGAATTCCAAGACCTTCACCAGCCGCAGCTGCTGCTCTGGTGTTGAGTAGTAGACCTTGAAGAGGGTGGCGATACCGTCGGCGTGCTCGGAGGTGGTGACGATGCGGCCGCGGCAGGGGGAGACGGCGGCGTGGGTGACCTTCACCCGGCGCGTAGCGTGGTGCGAACGATCGAGCAGGCGCCAGACGTGGTCGGGGTGGTGGTCCCAGAGGGCCACCTCGCCGGCCTCGGACGCGGTGAAGATGAAGTCGTCGGTCTTGAGCATGCAGGTTACGATGTCGCCGTGGGGGCGAAAGAACCTCACGCGCTCGCGCCGATCAATGTCCCACCGCACGATGTTGCAGCCGAGCGGCACGTCGACGTAGGTAGTGCCCAGGCGAGGGTCTTCTTGAGCAAGACTCTTGCTGCTACTCGCTAGAGTCGAAGGCCAGCACGAGCAGTAGCGCGCAGTGCCAACGCCAAATGAATTGACGATGCGCAAATCATGTGCCAGTTGATGTTCCTCATCCATTTGGTGGTCAAGACCTTCACAGAGTATCAAGTAAGAAAAAAATTACCCCTTCAAATTCATGCCTTCATCTTTTGCTTTGTGTGCGGTTGTTTTGGTGAAGTCTTTGGCGGGAAATGATTATTGAAATGATTATTTTGAAACCTCAATTGCAGCGACTACATTGAGCATGGCCACCACACTCTTGTGCATGACGCTGGTGGTCCACTCCTTCTGCAGAGACATGATGTTGCGCCTGCAGACCTTCCACGGCCGCATGGACGAGCTGCGCGTGTGGGCCGGCGTGCGCACCCCGGCCGAGATCCTGGTGGGCTACGACACCACCGACCTGTCGTTGACCACGACCACCACCCCCTACGCCGAGGCTCGCGCCAGTAGCCTGGTGGGCCAGTTCCACCTGGACCGCGAGTCTAGAGGCTAGGGGGAGGACGAGTCGTGCGTGGCGCTCGCTTCCCCGACTGGCGCCAAAGCCGCGTTCGAGGGCGAGATCGAGGGCCAGGCGCCGGTGTGGGTGCCCTCGTTGGCCCCTCTGGTGCTGCGAGTGGAGGCGACAAACTTCTTGCTGGCGCACCTCACCCTCTTCATCTACTTGGCCCACCCGAACGACACGTTTGCGGCGCAGATCGATGTGTTGGCGCTCAACCCGAGTCCATCTACCGCGACGGCGGCGCGGCCGTCCTGGTGAACTAGGGCAACGTCATCACCGTCGCCGAAGGCTCACAGTACGTTTTCTTGGCATTCTCCACATTCCTCACACCATACTCAACCAGATAGTGGCGGTTCCCTGTGGCCTATTTCCTGACCACATCGCCAATAAGTTACACTGCAATGGTGCGCTACCGTGCGGTGTCGTACGGCGAGAGCTGAGAGTGCGCCGAAGATGAACTGGTGCGGCGTGTGCGAGGGCGATGGTCAGTGCGAGCCGTACGGGTGCGATGGCGAGGGCAGCCGACGCGACGTGTGTGGCGTGTGCGACGGCTATGGCGAGTCGTGCCGGTGCTCGCTGGCCAACTGGCGTGGCAACGAGACCGAGGAGCTGGACAAGGGCGTGCTGTTCTACGACCTGCTTACTTGACGACACCGGGCAGCTCATCGCGCAACAGGCCTTCTTCGCTTCAGAGCCACGTCGACGAGCTCGATCACCTCGACCTCGACGTCTTTCAAGACGACCTCGACGAGCTCTACACCGACGCCGCCCACAACATATGTTATGTACCTAGATAGAGGGTTGAGTGCTCCACTGGAACCTTTTTGCAAAAACGAAAACAATGTTAGGTGACTTTTATTTTGTGGTGGCGACGACAATGGCGATGACGTGCCTGTGTGGATAGTGCGGACTGACAGTCGCGGGGGTCGCGTGGAGTTTTTTTTCAAATCTTCAGCCATAGCAACTCAGGGCCGACCGCATAATCGGACGCGCTCCATCCATCTGACGACGGGGCTATCAAACAACTGGGCTGCGTTCTCGAGAAAAAGGGTTGGCTGTTTTCAAATTTGTGGTGGTGTAGGCGGTGGTGGCGAAGACGTGTCGCGTGGATAGTGAGCGGACACACAAACGGGGCCTCGTTCCGTTTTTTCGTTCCAGGAGCAGTTGCGAGAGGGGTCACACGTCCGCCAGGAGGACGATTACGGCCATTGATGTGGATGGACGCGAGTGTGTGCGTGCGTGCGGGTGGGCGTCTGCTGCGCATGGCCGAGTTGGACTACGGACATGGTGGTGTCTGGAAAACGGGCATCGTGCAGTTCCGGTATGCGGGCTATGTGGGGAGGACTAACAAAGGGTGATGACGGTGACAGCGTCCTTCGTCGCGGTGGATAACGCCGACCGCCCACACAACCTTGAAAGCGGGTCCCCTCCCTCCGTTTCTGTGTTGCGTTGTTGGCACTTCTTCAGTCCACCACGCTTCCTCTTCCATGGCGCAAAGGAAGGGTCTTGCTTCTCAGCATATGTATACTATAAAAGTCAACGAGGTCCACCGTGCTAAAGGGGGTGTCCGGATTTATTTGGAACTTAACTCCTGATATGCTGCTGCATGCACGCTGTGCTGAGGCAAGAAGGTGGTGGACTTCTTAGAGCTGGGACTCGATCTTGTTGCCGGTCTGGTTGACGTTGACCCAGGGCTTCTCCTGGTGGATGGTCACCAAGAGGACTCCCTCGGGGAAGGAGGTCTCGCCGGGGTAGTAGGCAGGACCCTCGCTGGTGACGACGAACTTGATCTTCTTGGCCGTGATCTTTTCGACGAAGGCCTCCTTGTACATGTCGTCCTTCTTGCACAGCTTGATGATGTTGTCCACCAGGCCGGTGAGAGTCTGGTTGATCACCCTGCCGACGAGGTTGCCGTCGTTCTTCAGGGCCTCGTGGATGGCCGCTCCGTCGGCCTCGAAGGTCCAGCCGGTGGTGCCAGTGGCAGCCTCCAGCTTCTTGATGGCTTCGGCGTTCTGGGGCTCGGCATCCTTGAGGCTCTTCCTGGCGGTGAGGGGCAGTTGGCTGGCCATTGGATAGGTGTTGTTGTTGGTGGTGGGTGATGGTGGTGACTGTCTGGGTGGCGACCTTTTTATATGTGGCAGGCCAGGGTGGACTTCACTTAACCCTGAACCACCAACACTGCCGGGAGAATAGAATCCTATTCCTGACAGGAAATTTTTCTGTTGGCTGCTTTGTCTCCTGAAACCACTACATTTCTCCGGCATACGCCGCCGACACAACGTGCAATGTGGCGGGCTGGGGAGAGAGGACTTCACTTAACACTGAAACCTAACCACCAACCTACTAGGAGAATAGAACACTATTCCTGAGACAGGCGTTGGCTACTTTATCCCCTTAAACCACCCCACATTTTTCCGGTACCTCCTTTAACTTAAGAGAAACATACACAGTTGGATTCCTTTGGATTCCTCAAAGGTCCAGATGCAGCCGAACACGAGCCACACGACACACGACACACACACACACACGCACGCACCACCAACACACACACAC